CGAGAGCGTAGGCCATTTCTGAATTTCTGCTTGTTTTGCCAGAAATACAACAGGCATATTCATTCATAAAGCTGAACGGCAAATTTGGCACATTCGGAATAACAAATAAAAAATAGAACTGTATAATTAAACTAAAATTATTATAGACTCTATGGTTTTTGTTATCTTCTGATTGGTCAACTTCAGATGGATCGCCAAATCGTCTCGTTCAACCGCACATACGCCACAAATTTAAACCGACAGCATCCGATTTTTTTTTACATGTTTGAAAATTTTCGGGAGGACGGGAGGTGCTCGTAACGTCTCGGATCAGCCCGTAATTCTTCTCACATGGTACGAGCCGCGACCATGCGAGCATCTGCGATTTTCTCCCGAGAGAAAAAAATCGCCTGCGAGCTCGTACGACAGCAAAATCGCACCATGTACGCCCGCCTTTAGATGTATCCAATAAAGTCTTATTTATATTGAAAAGAGAAGTATCTTGTGTTTTGTGCTTACAGGTTAATGTCTTAAACTGCCGATCTTGTTACTGTGCTAATTAATAATGTTTTCACTATATTTTGGATTTTAATATCCATTGCAGAGTTGATGTTCTACGGCTCGTTCAATGAATCGCTGGGCGACTCAGTGATCAGCCGTAAAACAGTGATTCTGTCCAAATTCCCTATTAAAACATAAATGATTACATTTGAGCTAAATTGACCTGTTTGCCTTACAATATATGTATGTATGTATGTATGTATGTATGTGTGTGTATGTGTGTGTGTGTGTGTGTGTGTGTGTGCGCGTTTTTGTGACAAATGAGGACATACATTTGTATAATGACAAGGGTATGACATAGGTATTACAAGGAGAAGGTGACTTTTCAGGACATTACCCCATGTCCCCACTTTTCAAAACGCATATAAATCACACAGAATGGAGTGTATTGAAAATCTGAAATAGCACAAAGTTTCCTGTGAGGGGTAGGTTTAGGTGTAGGGTTGGTGTAGGGCAATAGCACATACAGTTTGTACAGTATAAAAACCATTATGCCTATGGGATGTCCCCACTTTTCACAAAAACAAACCTGTGTGTGTGTGTGTGTGTGGTGTTATTTCAATATTTATATCTTGAGAAGTGTTTCTCACATTACTTTCATAATGACTTTGTATGTAGCAGTTATGGTCGCTGTCCTTCAATCTCTTTTGAAACCATTATGGATTGAAATCTTTGTTCATTGTTGTAAGCAGGTAAAGAAACTCACCACCCCCTTTCTAAATGTTCTCTAAAAAGTTTTCATGCAGTATGGGGAGGAAGAAAGATCTTTCTGAAGATAAAAAGCATGAAATAGTGCAACGTCTTGCAAAAGGCTTGAAAAGAGTATCAAGATTATTACAGAGATTATCGAACTGCCAAAAGATTTGTGAATTAATCAAAGAACAGAAGAACTTGATCAGATAAATAGCCAAACAGCCAAAATAACTAATGGGAATACGTTAAGTCAGTGTGCTGCACACATCAATGACTTGTCAGTGCTGGCAAGAGACCATGGGATAATCCACAGCTAAGTGTCACTTACACTATTTTAATAAAACGTGCATAGGAATTGTAATGCCTTCACATTGTGCACTGAAATTGTGTGTAATGCTATCTTTGTATTATACCTTACATATGTTTGTTTATGTTTACGTTGAGTATACACTACAATTCAATTTTTTTAAATAAATGAATAGTTTTATTCATCCAGGAAGCATTAAGTTGATCAAAATGGACAGTAAAGAGATATTAATACTGTTACAAAAGATTTCTATTTCAAATGAATGCTGTTCGTTTGAACTTTCTATTGATCAAAAATCCTGAAAAAAGTCACGTTTTACTAGGGTGATCAGATTTCTCATGGTTCAATACGGGAGGGAGGGGGAGGGTTGTGATATATGACCATGATATGAGAAATTTTATTTCATATATATATATATATCCAGTGGTGTAGTGGTGCCTGGAGAAGAGGATATACTCTTAATTTATGCCCCCATTTTTTTAAATGGCCTGTGTTATAAACAGTGACATGTAAGAGTCAAAACTAGTCTTGCATATTTAGTTCACCATAGTATTTCCACATTTTCACTTTCTGTAACTTCTGCTACTTGACTTACTGGAGTAAGGATCATTATGAAATTAATATTAGCCACAAAAGGTGCAGATTTTGCAATAAATAATTAAAATGTAAAAAATTATATAGACTGCAACAATTAACATTTCGTAAGAACCTCTAGTAGACAAGCTATTTTGTTTAGTTATCTGTAGGAGAA